ATTTTACGGTTTCATTTAAGAATTTTGTTTTTGTCCGGTCGCACGTATGCACGCTTATAGGAGAAGGTTCGCAAAATCAATTTCACGGTGCATCGTCCCTCGACCACCGTACACACAATATAATGCTAATAATGGTGACAATAACAACGTAAACAGTTAAAGCATATTAATGCCAGTAGAAAATTTTAATTTATAAATTTCTGATTTCACGTTTCTCCAAGACAATTTTAAAATAAATAAAATGTATTTTTTGCATTTATTTTTGATACATATTTAAATTCACAAAATTGCAATTTTAAATTTTGTATCAAACATATTGTACATATTTCAGTTTTGTATAAGTTGTCTAGTTTGGTACATACCTAAAGTATAATGTTAGTACAATTTTAAAACAAATTATTTTAATATTGGCAGTGTACCTATTTTTTGCATTTCTTTTGGACGCATTTTCAAATTCAAAAAATCGTATTTATACATTTTGTTCCAAAGACGTACATTTTTAAGTTTTGTATGTTCGGGTATTAAATTTTTTAAATTTCTTCTTGAAAATTTTTCAAAAATTAAGTCACCTACCGTAATAAATTCTACATCATTCTCTATATAATATTGTTATTCAATAAATCAATAATGTTACACAGTGTCAATATAATATATTATTTGGAAAGTGTAGGCCGACGTCTACATTATGTTTGCATTGTGCGTGTCGGGAATTGCGAGTCAGACGTTTGGCAGCGTTTAGTTACAAAAGTCCTTCACTCACCCAGTCACCCCCATAATATTGACCTCCACACGGCGTCACATCGCGTAGGTACATAATATATTTCGCTTGAACCTCTGCTACTTATATAATAATATGTATAACTGTATATTAAAATATTTTAATCGTTTAGAAGTTTAAAAAAAATACTACTTACCTACCATATTATTATTGTCACCGGGGCGCATGCCGCCGAACCGCTCAGGGAAATTTCTGGAAATTTTCTCGTTTTGTAAGCTTATTATCGATTCTACAAATAGTAAATATAGTAAATAATAATAAAATGATCGTTAAGTACACGGGTGCCCGTATTATACATTTATACATCGTTGTATTATAATATAATATTCGTCGTCGTCGTCGTTATTATTATTGTTATTATTCGTTCGGAGGGGAAAAACGTAAGTACACAAAATGACGACGACGTACCTAATACCTACCGATGAAATAGGACCTCCCGAAAAATAAAAATTTACCCATAAAAAACGGTATGGGCACATAATAATACGAGCTCGTTTTTTACGACCAAAAACCGTATAAATGTAACAACCTAAGAAAGAAAACCGCGGTCCTTATAATAATAAATATAGAGGTATATACATTCTAATATAATGATTTCGTATATTTCACATAGGTACTAAAATAACAGAACAGTAGTATAGGTATACGTGTACATGGTATAATAGTGGTTGTAGCTGTGGGTTTTGTGACCTATGATGTGGGATTATTCGACACATAAAAAACAAAAATTACTTTCGAGTAGCTCGAGCTACACCGCAGTCTCCGCGCCATAATATATAATATTTTAAACGAATATCCCATATAATATACATGTTTATCATATTATTATTATTATTATCATTTATGTACGCGACGGTAATAAAACGCGGACCGATATAGCTATATATAGTAGGTAGGTAACGTATGTATAATAATAATTAAGCGATCTAATACAATATACTAATATAACATGATGGGATACCGTTCACGAGCGGTTCGTATATTATCTGGTTACTGGTTTGTGGGTGGAAGCACGTCGGACGCATATCGTAATAATATAATATAATATTCTACAATTATATACCGCTCGATCACATATTATTATTATTATTATTATTAAAATAAAAACCAATCCCGCACAAACTACCGGGTCGGGTCGAGTCGGACAGCTTAATAATAATTAAAACCCGATTGATTCGTTTCGGCAACTTTTAATAATATATGGTAATAATAATTATCGTTTTAGCAGCAGCACCGGCAGCAGCTGCCATTAAGTCCGATATAATATTATTAAATGTTATGTTGTAAAATAATTAGCTTTAGCAGTATAATATAATATTATATCTATCGGCAAAAATAATAATAATAATAATAATAATAATAAAAATAGTTGCCGAGAGACAAGCGTTTATAATACCACTCTGGCAGAGATACGAGAAAATAAATATCGTTTTTTTAGATCATTTTTCTAAACTACACATAATATATCTACTCGTGTACAACTTGATGTACTTTAAATATTGAATAATATAATTGCGCAAGCAAATAATTAATACTGAATATTACCTGATAAATGCTAATCACTGCAGCAAAAATAATAATTTCCCTGCTGTGGCTGCACGTCGTTTGTGTGGGAAATAACTGTGCCAATAAATTATGAAATTAATTCTCGGTAATCATAATATCTTGTTTAACGGACAAGACCACAAGCCGTTTGGGGTGCAGCAACTTGATTAAATAAAAATGATTATTATTAGTAATTATTTATTTATATTAACTACATTTGGGCAAAACGGGGAGGGTTATTTTTAGGTGAAACAGGTCCTGCCCATTTTTATAAACCAAAAACCCATGAAGTCAAGTGTTTGAATAATAGCGATAAATATGGCTGATCCGAATCGGTATTATGACGGTTTCTTTTGATTTTTTTTCCTACAACAAGTACATTTTTAGAGAAATTTATTGTATGTGCCGTGACTTTGAAACCGTTCAACTTGACGAATAAATAAATTATTGGTTAATACATAATATTATATTGTGCAAATATGTCATCGCATCGAGGGAGCTCCGAAACGTACGTCTTAAGGTCGCCTAGGTTGCCTAAGTAGTACTAGCTGAATTACCCGGCTTCGCTCGTGTGTAGTTTTGTTTTTTTCATATTTTCAATATATCCCTATAACTTCTCGCCTCTTTCTGAACAATTCTTGTCTACACGACGGACAAAAAGGACAGGTTGCAGATAGCTGGGAACCCGCGGACCGCTATGAGCCGGCTCCGTGCTGCACAATACGTGTTGGCGATGAATAATTATAATTGTAAATTATTCCACTAAAACGCAACATTTTTGAAAATCCTTTCTTAGCACTGTGAAAATATGAAAAGAATCTCTATTCCAAATTTCAAGCTCGTACGTTGCGTAGTTTTTGAGTTACAGCGATCAGTGACTAAGTGGTATTTGGATTTTATACATTGTATAGATTATTTTATTTTTTGAAACTTCGACGATTTTCGATTCGATCGATTCGTACAAATAATGTTTATGTTATGTCGTCTGCAGCAGTCTTTTTTTTCAAATCGATTGAGTTTTAATATTATGTTTGCTATTCGCGTGTCGTTGTAATCTGCCGCCGGTTAACGTTTTATGCGCCTAAGTCTTAATCTGTGGTATAACCTTGCGTTAACAACCTCAATAATGTTAAATGCAAAACTCAAACGTGCCAAGAGTAATACAGCTTTATTGAATAAATAAAATGTGTAAGTGCTCATAGACCGGGTATGCGCAAATCGTATTTAACCGAACACAAACCTTAAACGTGAATGATACCATACATACGGTCACTCATTTTGTCGTTTATTGTGCTCATTCAGTCATAATATTTATTATCTCGTACGATCCCATTTAACATTGTTTTTTAGCCGAATAGATAATCGAAACGTTAAAAATAGTAATTTTATCACAAATAATGGTATAGTATGCGAATAATCCTTAAATTAATACCGTTCGAATAATTTTGCCATTTTGTTTTTGTGTTTATTATTGCACCGTTTCTATATAGTGACTAAGATTCATCCTCAGAGTGTTTTCTATAATATCATTGTGACATAATTATATTATCATATAATATGCCTTCGGGGTAATCCATTTAACGTAAGACACTTATTATTACAGAAAGCAAATCAGTCAAGTTTTTAAAAATATTTCTTTCATATAACATTTTGAGTAGTTACCAAACAAATTCATTTGATAAAAAAATTATAATTTTTACTATTCTAATTTTTATATTTTTTAAATATTTTATTTAAATACATTAATATACAGTTTAGTTTAAACTTACTCTAATATATAGTAAAATAAAATAATATATCTACCACCTTTAAGCACATGCTTTTGTTGGTAGCAGAGAGTCAAATTAGTATATTATGAATATTTTGATTATAAAATTTAAAAATAGATAACATATACAACAACTTTATTGTCATTATTTTCTAAACTCTTATCCTGTTGAATGACAATGTATGTATACATTTTTTATTTCATATTCCTATGCAGAACATTGTTCGGAATTAGCAAAAGGATAACGATAAAAAATATTGTTCTTTTAATCACTTGAATAATTTTTTAAACAAAAATGTTCACAAATGATGATAGATTTTAAAATAATGAGTGCCTTGCGTTAAATGGATCACCCGGTATGACGTATAATAGGGGAGCCATTACATAATAATATATAATATTGTACATAGGTACGTGTTTTGTAAAAATTTTTACTCAATTACCAGAACTCGTACATCATATTATTATACTGTGCGCCTTCGTTCTTGTAAAACACACGTTGAAGTGCTCAGCTAGGCCGCTCCTAATCGTTTAATGGTGGTTTTATTAACAGACAGAGATAACGACGACGTCTCGATGTGCCTCTCGTCTGGCCCTCGTGCGGAGGAGACAATATAATGATTGAGAGTGTATTCATGTAAATTGAGATAAAAGCAGGGACGAACGGAAGAAACCAATCTGACGGTACGCGATAGGTCCCTACTTGAACGACGTCACTCGAGTGATCGTCTTGAGTCAGAAATAAACATTATAAATGCATAATGTAATCTACTTATGGTCGGATTGAAACGAAATATTACACTACTGCACTTGTATTATATAATATATTATTATGATATTATATTATATATTAATTTAGCTTTGCTATGATATATTATCGTGCTAAATTAAGAATGTTTTTTGTTTCAGAAAATAGAAAAATGATCAATCGTCGGATTTCGTTGAAAATATTACCAGCGGTAGTTGTGGGCATCGTCTTCCTGGTCGAAGGATTGTGCCTACCAGCCCAATCGAAAAACATAATATTAGAAGGTACCATAGAGTTTAATAAATAAACGTATAATGTGACATTGTTCTTCAACTTCAGGTCGATCGTTTTGTTATTCTGAAAACACAATACAATCGTTTTAAAATTTATGTTATTTTAAACGGATAATATAACAATTGGAAATTGTCGGTTCTACTCTGTAGAAAATTCTTTTCAAGTTATTATTATACTACGAGCAGAAATTAAATTTAAACTCTGTTTGAAAAAAAAATAACAACTTACTCATAATTTGATAAAAATATTATAATATTATTCTATAATAATACGGTCAGGCGGGTTTGAAAAAAGGGTATATTAGTCACAGTGCGTTTTGAGGAAAACACACACATACACAAATTTAACATGTGTATGATTCATTAACAACACAGACGGAGACAAGTTTCAGACTCGCTATAACATTATGTATATGTATATCACATGATGGCGTCTAATATCCGTATATCTGTTATTAAAATAATTATTTTACTGCGATCTAAACTGGCGCCGATTCGCGTTATTCGTTGGCAACGGACGATAGATCATTATAATAATACGGTGGTCGTTGTTGGCTTATAATAATACTACCATTATACTACATTATATTATTAATATTCCATAACAGTTTAGCAACGGACCGACATCGAAACAAAACGATCGTCGTCGTTCGTCTTAGCACCGGGATTCGGAAATCGACAGAAGAAAATAATTACATTATACTATAATACGTCTCACGTCCCCACTTTTTTGCACACATACACACACGAGAAACATTATATTTTATATTATTATTAAAAGAGTGCGCATTGTCGCGTGTTTACGTTCCATTATATATAAAAATATCCGAACGCCAAAGGTTAGTAGTCCACGATGACCTTTGGAACGTGTCCAGAAACGGGTACGGGATATTGCCGTGCGACCGTTTGATTTTTTACGGTGTTCTTTATATATTTTTTCTCGGAAAGCGTCGACGCAAAGAAACTAGTGTGTTTTTCGGAATTGCGGGAGGGTCGCAGTTTAAAAATATGTTTCGAAACGGTTTGCGGATGTTGAGTAAAAATTAAAAAAAAAAATCATTTTCAACTCGGACGTTGAGTATTGCCATAATAATATTATACATTATACGTCGAATAATATAAAAGTAATAATAATAATATTTATAGTTGCATTACGCCGACCGAAGCTTAGAATAATCATAACAATATTTCGTGTGTTTATGTTATTATTACATGCTACCTACGTAGTTCTTAGAGTATAATAATAATATGACACTTTGACGGTATATTATATTAAGTCCAAAAAATTTTTGCGTATCATTTGAAAGTGGAATGTTTTTGGACTGGATACAAATTAATTTTCGGATCGATTTTGAGTAACGTTTTATTTATCGCCATTGAAACGCAAATCAAACATATTTTCGATTCTTCGATTTTTCTTGCAGAGGAGAAATATCCACTACGAATAATATTAGCATTATACTTTTTTTTTTTTAAAGGTGTCGGTTAAAAATATCACTTCTAACACGAAATGTCCCAGCACAACTATATTTACCATAATATTTTAGTATAAATTAATTATTCCAGTCTTAACGATATAGTATTCTGCGTTAATTTCATGTAATCTAAATAAGGTATAAAAAAATTATTATAACGCTCGTAAAAATAAGTTTTTATACGCTCGGAGCGTTCGTTTTACTAACCATGTTTGTTCAGTATATGCAACCACAGTGCCTGCGACTGCACGCATGTATAAATATAGAATTATAACGTTCGAATGTCTGAAAGTTTAAACCTTGTTTCCCAAAATACAAACTTCTAAATTAATTCTATGATATACTCCATTATGTTCTATAATATAAAAAAATATATGCAACCACATAAGACCGTTGAACAATACTCGTGCACAGAGCCACCGTCGATTTCATCAAAAAACCAAATCTACAAAACCAACCGCAAATTATAAAAACATACACAGATTTGAAACATCCTATCGTTGCTAATAATTTTAGCCAATATTCATATATTTCTCAATTATTAGAATTAAGTTTACTTTGCAAGGTACCATTGTTTCCCGACGGCCTAATAATATGTCGCCGTGAGTATTTTTATTAATAAAAAAAATATTCGTATGATAATACACTGTCTTACAATTTTAAATTAAATTGACAACACAATAATAAATAGTAATAACTAATGAGTATACCTAAAATTAAATTATACTATGATTTGTTATGAAAAATTAATAATTTATTCAGGATTAAAACAATCAAGGATAGGTTCACTTATTGTACAATGTACATACTACATAGACATGAGCTTATTATACTATTAATATATAATTAATTGGAATTTAAAGTTAGTAATGTATATTAAATTACTATATACTTAGGTGTTGTTACTGCAGCTTACAAAATATGTACTTGTTAATGTTTGTCTATAACCAGTTGTTTTGTTTTCATTTAAGATGAAGTGAGTACTGTCCCGGCTGTCGAAGGGGACCGTTTAAACATAAAATGCGATTATTCAGAAGCCAATAAGATCACCAAAGTCCAATGGACCAAAGAGTCAGACGACGAAACTGCACTTGACTCGCCGAGTATATTGTCAAAAAAATTGCAATGGTACACAATTTTTCAGATTGTCACTAAATAGTTTACGTTAATAGTTATACTTATCATACCTTTTGTTTTCGCCGATTCCATAGGTTGCGTTTCAAGAAAGTGAAACACTCCGATCACGGACGATATTCTTGCTTGATCAGTGGTTTCACCGAAAACGGAATGTTCTCCAAATGGCGTAATTTTACTTTGATAACGAACAAAAGGTCTGAAGTCACGGGTAATGGAAAATCGTTGAAAATGACGGCGCCTCTGAGCCTTTCGCACCGAAAGGACGGAGCCAAACCGAAATTTATCAACAGACTTTTCATGGACAACAACGTGGCGTTGTTAGTGGACGACTTTCTAACTCTGAGTTGTCCCTTTGAGAGTAAGAAATTCATATAATATTTTCTTTTTTAAACAACTACACAATCAATCGTTTCTTCTCTATGCTTTGTATGCGTCGACGATGTTGACATAGTTTATGTACCTATAATAATTTCAGCTTTGTGATTAGTCCGTCAGAAATATATGATACGAATTAAAGAAAATCATTTCAACACACATATTTTATCTTATTATAGATAGAGAGAAACATATATTATACTATATGTTACGTCAATTAAAATTAGTATTAATGGCTGGATATACTTTTAAATTGCAGGTACATCTGATGTTGTGTTTTCTTGGTATAAAAACGATTAGTTACTCGTCGAAGGGGGATCAGGCGTTAATAATTACACTTTGAGTCAAGTAAAATTGTCGGACTCTGGAAATTACACTTGCGTGGTGAAAAACGATTTCGGTTCTATCCAACATAAATTCAATGTGGACATTTACGGTAAGGACGATACGATTAAAATATTATTAATTATTAGTGTGCCAGTTTTTGTTCCGACTTTACTTAATGGATGCTAATGTTTAATTAATTCACAGAGGACCGAAACAAATTGCCTCTCTTGGTCGAATATCCACACAATTTGACTTTAAAGCCTGGTGATACTGCACGGTTTTCTTGCAAGACCTTTGATCAACTCCATACAAAAGTCGACTGGTACTTTTTAAACGATACAAATCCACGGGACATAGAAACCGAGGACCTCTTACTGTCTACAAAGATGGCCAACAGCCACAACGTGAGATTCTTATTACTATAATATATATTATTGAAACGTTTTATTAATATTCATTAATTAATTGACAGCAATATAACGCATATTCTTAAATTTAATTTTGTAAATTAGTATTAATAGTTTAAGTTTTTCTTTATAATGTGAGGCTACAACTAATACGAAAAATGTATACTTATTTAAAATTATCTCAATATACAGTTAAGACGTTAACTTTTTCTTTTTTTACAAATAATTTATATTCAATACGTTCAACGACAGTTATGAAATGTCTTGATTTGAATGTACAAAAAATAAATATCATTTTTTTTTTACAGGTTAAGTTGTTTAATGGAATATTGATACTGGAAGGTGTCACAATCGATGACATTGGATGGTATGTTTGTTATACAAACGGATCAAAAACGCGCGTAATGACGGGTGCAAAATTGGACGTGGACAAAAGTTTGGGTACGAAGAATTATATTTATGACACTAAGATAATATCCTAAAATTATTGAACTTTTCAATTTTTATTTTAGTTAATGATGCAAATGACCAAGACTTTGGAATCGAAGTAGAAGATGGAGAAATTATCGACAATTCAAGAAAAATCGGTTTTTTCAATGCAACAGAAAATTCCACTGCTCCTAAATTCACAAAACTCGATAGCATGCATAGGGTAATCGCAAAACCGGCCGGAAATATGTTGAAATTGAAATGTGTAGCTGAAGGTAAATGTCAAGTTTTTAAACTAACGAGAGTGATAGCTGTATTTAAAATTTAAAATTATCCAATATTTACTAATTTAATGCGAATTGAACATAACATAATATTATTGTGTTCAACATTTACGGTGTATATTTTACATATTTGTGTATATTATTATAATGGTGATCTTTCAATTTGTTACAAATATGATTGTGTGTACATAGGTAATCCTTTACCGAACGTAACATGGTACAAAGACGGAGTCACACCCCCCCAACGACAACTGGGTATAGCCCGGTACACTCAATGGGCAATCATACTGGAAGATTTGGTAACGACAGATTCCGGTAATTACACGTGCAAAGTGAGCAACGAGAACGGATGTATAGATTTCACTTATAAGGTTGAAATAATAGGTAAGCATAGCGATTATCGTATTTTAGTATAATATCGTTTGTTAATTGATAACATAATACTATATTATCATTAAATTGCTTTTGAAATTAAAAAAAAAAACCGAAATATTGAAATTAATTTTACGAAATAAACTCCATAATAAAAACAGAAAGATTTCCGCATAAGCCCTACATTAAAGAAGGGCAGCCTCATAACGTCACCACGCTGGTACACACTAACGTATCGTTTGAATGTACTCCGTTGGCCGATCTCGAACCGTACATGCGATGGTTCTATCATAACGCCAGTGTCGGGAACGTCAACGAAGAAAATCTAGAAAACGGCACTGTCATACAGGTACCGAAGCCAAACTTTTTGGAAGTCGGTGGCATGCTATGGTGGTGTTTGCGGGTGGTTTTGGAGCTTTTTTTATCATATTAATTATGTAAATATAAATAAATGTATAATATAATATGTATTATTTGTACACATCGGAGCGTGCATATTTTGAATTTTGGGAACGGAAGCTACATTATATTATTATAATGACGATTGCATAAAATTGTTTTACGCGTGTTTATCTGTATTTTGTTTTTATTATTTTAGAACGGTTACACCATCGTCCGGTGTTTACGGAAGCGCCTCACAACCTTACTTTGGTGTTGGGTGGTTCTGGTGTTTTGGCGTGCAAGGTGTTGTCGGACTTGCATCCGTACATCGGATGGTATATTGGGGAAATCACAGTGGAGAATACTGAAAACTTAAACTTAACAACAATGGTGAAGGTCGAGGTACGCTTGGGAAACGACAAAATTGAGCTTTTTGGTTAACTAACACGCTTTACGCTTATATAATATTATGTATATAGTAACCGTCACTTGTTCGCAGTAATGGTAATTTTTGCTCGCTTTATTCGTATAGCCGGGTCTTCGGGACATAATATTATATATTTTTTTAAGAATATCACACATTCTTTATAATTGCGTAAATGAATAGCACTTGACCACTCACGTCTATTGTAGAACGGAGCTCCCAGCGAAGGCAATCCGGAATTATTGCAACTGTCCAACGTGACTCATTTGGACGAAGGATGGTATACATGCGTGGCCGGTAACAGTCTGGGCATGAGCTACGCCAGTGCCTATTTGAAAGTGGTTGACGGTAAGTAATCGGAGAAAATCAGAATTTTACTAATATAATATTATATAGGTACACTGCAGGTTAATTGTTAACATAATTTAATATGCGATGACAATATTTTAGAATTGGAAGATCCGATAAAAATCAAAGCTTTTCAATTGCAAACTTACCAATTGGCCGCTCTGGGCATTAGCTTCGTACTGGTTATTTTCGTGTGCATCATAATGCTGGTGTGCAGTCAGAGGAAGAGGGAAAAATTGAAGGAGTTGGTGGCCAGAGAATCGGCAAGAAACGCAATGATCACTCAATGGACCAAGAAAATAATCATCGAAAAACAACAGATGGCCGATGCCAGCGAACCATTGGTGAGTCGAATTTTATACTCACAATATTAGGTACCTTATATGTACAGACATATTTTTTTTGAAATAAATAATATGATAATATCGAGTTAATTTTATATTTCAGTTGATGCCCGTAGTGAAAATCGAAAAACAAAAAAGTAAATACACAAAACTAGACCAGGCGTGCATGTCCGAATACGAGCTGCCTCTCGATCCTTGTTGGGAATTTTCGAGAGACAATCTATCACTAGGTAAAACTCTCGGCGAAGGCGCATTCGGTAAAGTTTTACGTGGTGAAGCCGATGGAATTTTATGTGAAAATGTAACGAACACTGTGGCGGTAAAAATGTTGAAAGGTTAGAAAATTATCTTTTTAAAACGTCCAATTTGACTGCACCCATATTTTTAATATAAAACTTTTAATTTACTAATTTGATTTACGGTTTATGCAGACGGACACACTGATACCGAAATGATGGATTTGGTATCCGAAATGGAAATGATGAAGATGATCGGCAAACATGTGAACATCATAAATCTATTGGGTTGTTGTACTCAAGACGGACCTTTATATGTATTAGTAGAATTTGCATTACACGGAAACCTCAGAGATTTCTTGAGACAACACAGACCATCTTCAGGCTATGAACCGGCTATCGGATCAAACCTCAAAGACACTTTAACGCAAAAGGATTTAGTATCGTTTGCATATCAAGTAGCTAGAGGAATGGAGTATTTGGCGTCCAGAAAAGTGAGTCAAATTTTTGAACCGACAGTCTGTAACAAAATATAAAATAATACTTGGTTTAAGGACCATAAAAAATCGATGTATACGATTCCATGATACATACTTATGGTTTATTACATATAATATTTAATCTTATCTAACGACAAGTTTTTTGTTATTTGCCATGTAGTGTATTCATAGAGATTTGGCAGCAAGAAATGTCTTGGTAAGCGATGATTTTGTAATGAAAATTGCAGACTTTGGCTTAGCTAGAGACATTCAAAATCAAGAATACTACAGAAAAACTACCGATGGAAGACTCCCGGTAAAATGGATGGCACCAGAAGCTTTATTCCACAGAGTGTATACAAATCAGTCTGATGTGTAAGTTAAAATTAAGTTTGGTAAAAAGTTATCATAGATAAAGAATTTCATATCATTAAAACCTAAAACCCCTTATTAATACTAAAATTCTGTTAAAATCAAGAACATTGATTCCGGTCTCCTGGTAAAATAAAAATATGTAACCAATGAATATTTATAATATAATTAGACAACATTTAAAAGAGTTAAACGAAAATTTGTTTCAATATACATATTAACAGTTTTTTGACAAACTTAGTTCTAGTTTTTCAACCAAATAAAATTAGTTCAATCTATAGTACAACATGTTATATTAATAACAAATAATTATAACGTGTTAAAATCGTACGTGCATAGGAACATAAATACATAATAAATATAATATTTTCTTGTGTACTGCAGTGTCCAAATGAAAATGCTAATATATGTATATTTATCAAGAGATCTATTACTATTCTAGTATAACTAGAATTAATATTATTATTATTATATCTTTTTTATGTATATTCAATTAACTGTTGAGCTATAATAACTTTTGGTTAAAAGATAATAAAAAAAAAACCAATAGGTCATGAATAAATAACAATAAACATAAAGTTAAATTTGTTTTTTTGTTTGATATACATACATAATGAATATGCACCTATTAATGTGATGGATAGGTATTCACTATTTTAATAGTTCCATAATTTAGGACCGAAAAGTCCTCTTGTAACACTACAAAATAATATCATTGTAAGGTTATGCATATTATTTACAAATCTATTACAACATGATGGTTGATAAAAATATAAATGATAATATAAACATATTGTAATGTTTTTTTTTTTTAATGTAATAAAAATATATAGATGGTCTTACGGAGTGTTGTTGTGGGAAATTATGACCTTGGGAGGTACGCCTTATCCTTCCGTACCCAACATGGAACAGTTGTTCAATCTGCTACAGAGCGGACATCGTATGGAGAAACCGTCTTGCTGTTCCCTGGAAATGTGAGTTTGCACATACATTCTGTTATTATTATGGATATTTAAACTGTTGAATTAGCATAAATTAAATTCAAGCCAATTTGATGTGATCATCAAATTAAAAGTTCAATCCGCGAAACCTAGGAACAGTGCATAAATCTAAACGATATTATTATCCACTATTTACTACGATAATATCGATATTGTTGAACATCTCTACTTTGCTTGCCTTATACCTGCTTAAAATCTGTTTTAGAGAAATTGCTGTTTTTGGTAGTAAGATTGTTCTTCAGTAAATGTTTTTAATTTGATCAGTAACATAACTTTTGAGTTGAAAAAGTTTCTTCATCCAATCATTACAATTAAAGTTACTTTTTATTGTTTAGTTCAAAAACATCACTAGAGCTAAATGATTATAACATTATCAACACATGAACTGTCTATTGTGCAATGGTAGTCATTAGTATGGATTGTTGATACACTAGTTTTGCAATAATAAAATCTTTGATTCAAATAATCTATTACAAAAATGATAAATGATAACATTTTTGAGGGCATGACATATCGCTTTTATATTTTGTTTATGATTTATTGACTTACAATGTTTTTTGTACATTTAAATGATGTTTAAATTGTTTTGAGACAATATTTATACAAATCAATATGGAAGCATAACAAAATAATAGTAATTTAGGAATAAATAATATCCTTATTAACTCAACCGTCGCTCTATGTCTTTCACAGATACATGATAATGCGGGACTGTTGGAGTTACCATCCGAATGAGAGGCCCATGTTCGACGAGCTGGTGGAAAGTCTCGATCAGATACTGTCGGTGACGGCCAACCAGGAGTACGTGGACTTCGGGCTGCCGCAGCTGGACACGCCGCCCACCAGCCAGGAGTCGTTCGATGAAAACCTTCTGGTCAATTTCGCCGTGTGATTTCGCGTGTGTTTTCTCTCGCGATGACGACGTAGGATGTTTCATTGTACCGGCAGTGGTATCCGAGTACGAGTACGTCCCCCACGGCCCAGTGGACGAAAGTTTCCGGAGATCTCGGGACAGAAAGCCGCATCAGTATTTCCCATGACTACTATATATTGTATTATTATATTATTGTAATATGACGTGTGACGTCCCGTGAATTTTCACCTAAAAAGATAATAACGAGTACATGTAACATTATTTATTTTTATCACTATTATTAGGTATTATTATTATTAATAATAGTAGTAAAGATAATAATAATTACCGATTTGAAATAGGTACATATTGTAAATAATTTTAATGTAAAACGAATTATTGTGTTATGAATTTTAATTATTTAATTGTTTGTACAAATGTACAATACTAGTTTTGTTTTGTCGTTATATATTATTGCGTATGTTTTTGTTTGAGTTTAAACCGTGAATGGAAATTAGGAAAAATTGGACGGTATATGCGATTATAGCGAAGAGCGCGTCAAGACTGAATATCGTACGTAACCAAGACTTAATAACATACAATTATTTCCGTATGTAATAGATGTGGAAGATGTGGAGATATAATAATAATATTTCTACAGATTGGAAATGTCCAATAATCAAATAAGTAACAACCCTATTTTTACTATAAAATATTTCTATTATATTGTATTTTTTTAAATGTATGTACCTATTTATAATGTATTTAACCGTGATTATATTCATTAAGCAAACATAAAATATAATTTTAACTCAATCATAAGAGACTTCTAGTCAAGTGAGGCATTAACCGCCAACCTGCTGTATAGTATATTAATGTAATTACTAATTGCGTATTTTCTCAACCACGCGTAAAATTGAAAAAATGAAGTTTGATTTATTTATCGGGATAACGGTAAATAGCAATATGACATTTTTATCATTTATTTAGTTTTGTATATAAAATAGGTGTCTTAGATGTTTTAAATTCTTGTTTCACTGCTATTAAAATATCAGTCGATTACAAACGTGGTGACCTGCCATCTGCATTATTTCATTAATGTTAATAATGCCTAATTGTATCTCCCACCCGTCGATATGTATTTGTAATTTTCTTTAGAGATAATATTAAAATAGTGCATTAATATTGAGCAATATACCTATGTTGTTATTGTAAGATAGATTGTAAATATAAACTATTTTTTATTTTCAATATATTTAATTATTTATATTAATATATCATATAAGTATTTTTTTAGTTGGTAAGTAGGTACAGACTAAAGTAATATTATCGTTCAAATAGTATTTATATACTTATCACTTTAAAGATGTAACAAATAACATTAAAATATGTTAGACAAAGAAATAAGTATAAAAAGTTCGTGTAAAAATTATTATAAAATATATCTTTATTTATATAATTCTATTGTACGTGTGTAAGTCACTGAACTCTTCCTAAACGGCAGGGCCGATTTGAATGAATTGTTTTGTATGCGTTTGGGTGACACCCTGGGTGGTTTAGATTCACAATGGGACACGATAGGTCCGACCCGGGGAGTTGCTCAAACAGGGATTTTAAGATTTACGGATGAAATATTTGTTTGTATACGGTTGCCATTGGTTATAGGAGAAATATAAATATATTTAATAGAAATGGTTATTTTTTTTTGTTCATTGGTTGCCTGCAGTGGTTCATCGGGCAGATCAGGTATAAGCGTGCATGCAATTGAATTTTCACACATTGCCTACCAAGGTGGTTCGAGCTGCACTTATAGCCGCTCATCGGCGTGTCCACAATCAAAATAAAAATAAAACATACTATTTACATAAATTATTCATCAAACGAAATCCGCAATTTACAGCAGGTAGACATAATATAAAATACTGCTCGCATTATCACAATCGAGTCTCATATAGAATTGTCATTTTTAACGCTTAACAAAGCGCAAGGGATCAGCTAGTATAATATAAATTATTATTTTACAAATATACATTAAAAAAATTTTAAGCTACATACTACAAAACGAGAATTTTTTATTCATTTAATATCCATCATATTTTATTAACTTCGGAATTCCTTTCCAAAAAAATTAATTTAAATTAAACATAGTAAAAACTATTATCCTACATGTGAAATGTTAATTCAGTGATAAATGATTACACATAAAAACATGCTGTGCAAGAGTACACCATAACCTTCGACTTAAAGTTTATTTAAATAGCTTCAAAAGAGTAAAAATATTTTTTAAATTTAACGTCCCCAAGACAGTTAATTAAATAACAAAAAAAAACGCAAAATAATTTTGTCAAAAACAGGTTTTGCATAAAAAATTTTGATTTTTTGAGTAGAATTTTGTTTGTTTTCCACAATTAAATTTTTATCAAAATATAAAGACATAGTTAACAGATAACAGCCATAAAGTAAATACTTTGTAATGTTATTTTTTAATATTTGTGTATTTAAATCTAAAAATTAATAAATACATTATAATATGCAAACTAATAATGATTTTTTTAATATTTTCAATTCAATAAACTATTTATCGTGTAAACAGACATAAAAAATAATTGTGAAAAAAACACACGTAATATCACTTCATTCATCTATCCGCTCCGAGTCTAAAATGTAAAACCTTAAATACCTATAAATGCTTTTTTCACATCACTTAGATAGTTAAAGTTATTCAGTTGCCATGTTTAGTACAGTGTTGTATGCCGATCATAATAATTACTAACTGAATTTCGATAAAAACAATACAACTGGTTGTAGTCATGTAGATCAAACAGTTTTCGATGAACACTTCTTGTCATGTGGCGGTAGTTCAACAACGACCATAAGTATTTTGGATCTTAACTATTTTATGAAGTTCTGAATTAAATCTTGGTAATTAAAATATATAGAACAGAATATGTTGTTAAATACTTAATGCATTTGTTGTACATAATCAATAACATCACATAATATTATGGGAATTTATAATATTGTCAGTTGTCACACATCAGTCGGTGTACCTGAATTGTCTATCTGATGCGCCGCGTAATATGATTTTAAAATTGAAATAATGAAAAGAAAATATAATTAAAAAGCACTCGAAAATAATTTTTTTATGTTTAAAATGTCATTATCTTATAGAGTAAATATAAAAAAATGTTTTTATTGTAACATGGCAAAAAAATATGGAACTGAGTTCAAGGTGAAATCATCGACGTCAGTGGTGTATATAACAATAATATGAAGTGTATAGATTATCATTAAATGAACGATAATATTTAAAAATGTATGTAAAAACATAAATACACAATGCTATCTCATCTAATATGTCATTGTATTATTATAATAATATAATTTAGAGTAGAGTAAATAATAAGTTATTACTATGTATATCTGATTTGAGTGGCTGAATATCATAATCAGCCACTGAGCATCATGCCCATGTCATACAAAATATAGTTACATACCTATCAAAAAGATGTACTGGATTCATACTTCAGATAATTTTTTATTAATATTTATATATATTTATATTAATTTGTATAATTGTTTCGTTATGTAAACTTATGTGCATGCACAGATTTCGTACTACTAAATGTCTGTGTTTCATATCCATATAGTGCATAATTATGTGATTTATAAAAATGAAGTTTCGTTTGCAGAATACGTACAACTTTTCTTCATTTTTCAACTGATCAGAAATTCAGAACGTCTAATAGATGCGAAATTTATATTACATTAACATAAATACATTTTGACATAATTATATTTTTGGACTATGACGTTGATTATAATTACACAAATACGATAATTATTGGATATGTTAAACAAAAATAGTATATAAATACTGTTAAGTACTTAGGTATACAATATAAGTACATAAATATTTCAAAATAGATGAGGAATCCAACGGAATTGATTCATACGTATGAGTAATTCTATAAGTATCCAGATAACTAACTCAGTTTGATTTGAATTGTGTTTTGGTGAATTTTTTGTTTATTGCCTTCCAAACTATGACCGATGCCATAGAACAAATATATCAATAATCCTGTAAACATTAAGATAATGTAAAATTTTTAAACAAACATTTAGAGTAAAGAAGAATTTAATAATCATTGTTTGAAAGATCGTATTCTATCAATAATTATAATTTATAATCAATTGATACATTGATTATAATACCTACAACTAAGAATAATTACCCAAACGTATTTTTGTCTGGTAATTCCTAATTACTAATTGAATACGTTTTTCCCCGATTATCTAATCTAGAGTAATAATTATAAAATTTACTCTAATTAATAAATTCAGTTATAACCAATATTTAACGAACTGCAGCCATAGGTTTTAAATTTTCTATTTCAGATTTACTATGTGATATGCGAGTCGATCACGTGTTCACATGCCAAAAACATGTGTATTGATCACTTTAATATAATAACATACATTGTTACTTAATGATAAATGTTTTGGTAAAAAATGTTCGAAGTTAACAATAAATCTATAGGTGTGGAATGTGGAAATCGAGTATAAGTTTCTATATCACTATAGGTTATCACTGAAAATTTAAAATTATGAATTTCTTAAGACACTGGTATAGATTTGTTGAATTAAATTTTTTTTAATGATATATCATTGCGTACGAAAATCGACCGTAATTGGAGATAATCTGTCTGCCTAAGTACCTATAATCCATTATACATTTAGGTATAATCTTACTATATGGTATAGTAATTATTTTTACTATAATAATTACAGTCGGTTCAATTCGTTAGGTTAGGTTAGGTAGGTTTGACGAAAACATTGGATTTATAATAGTTTATATATAAATCATATATTATTGTTATTAACTTTTGAATCAATACTGACTAACCGTAGAATAGTATGAATAAGTTTGTGGTATAAATAGGCAATAATTGAAAATGAATTTTAATTTTTTGAAAATTTCAGTGTGTATTATATTAAAATATGAAAACAAACGTAAGATTTTAAATGTCAATGAAAGTATGGAAAATATTTCATACATAATTAATCAATATTTTTTACTTAAAAACAAAAATTGTATCATACGTAAATGATAAATCAAAAAAAATAAAGTAATCAAATAAAATCATAGAACAAAAGAGACGCTAGACACAGAACTGATCTGAATCTAAAACTAGCCACATCATAATTTTCACTTGGGGTGAATTTTACTCAATAAGGGTAAAAACATGCAATAGACGTAATGCACTTTCACGAGTTTCAAGCAAAAAAGTATTGACAGCATTCAGCATATTTGGCTAAAAATGTAAGTATAACTAGATGAACTTACCACATAAAAGCCACACACTAAAACTTATCCAAGTTTTGTAGTCTATTTCCATCATCAGATAAACATTTAATACAATGCTCAAACATGGTATGATGGGAACCAAAGGTACCTAAATAAAAAAATTAAAAATAAATCGAATTACTTTAAACATTTTTAGTATTTTTTCAGCTCGAAAAATGTCAATCGATTATTATTTATATATGTGTAAATAGCATGATTTACTAGAATAAACATCAATGCATCAAACATTATTCTTAAAACTAAATTTGAAAACCTAGTACGTAAAACTGTTTATAATTTTTTTATCAGAAATACTCATACCTTGAACGATAGATCTTCCACGGCGGTCGGAAGTCTACCCAGCATGAACAACGTGATCAACAACACCAAAAGTGCTATTAAATTTACTATCATGAGTCCGTTCCTCGTGTTTCCATAATGTGATTCTATATTTGCCAAGCTTATTCCAAACACAATTGTACATACACCTATATTGAAATACAGTTTGTAACTCAACGTCTTGCATTTCGGCTAACTATACAGGCATCGTGCTAATGAACATAATATGTTAGTATATTATACACATTGTAATACATTTATTTGTACTCCTTGGCAGAGATTTTATTTATTATTTACAATAATTTGAGTATAATATTATAAACTATTTTGTTGGTAATTGTCTGTTAGTGTCCACAGGACCGACCACTCTTTGTCTTTGTTAATATAATAATTATATATATATATTAACCTTATTATATATATGTACAATGTAAAATATACATATATCAATACATGGTTTATTGCAGCCTTACTGGGTGACTTAAGCTCTAATCGGAATGTTCTAAGTTTTGGTGTTAACTTTTCTTACTGTTGGAGTCTTACTCAGCTGGTTTTCTCCTCAAACTATAATAAACCTCCCAAGTTATTTTCAATTAACCACTAGTTTTTTTTTATTCAACCCCTTTCAGCATATATATATGTTTTTATTTATGAAATCTATAGTGATCAATCTTTAGTACCTATTTAATTAGTTAAATATTAATACACACACAACAACGCAGGTTAATAGGTACAAGAAAAGGTAGATTCACTTATTTTGAGAGGATTGTATCATAATAATGCAATAATATATTACACACATACTAAATATAAATATCAACGCCCTTGAAATGTATTGAGTGTCTGAGTTCGGCACTTTTGCGTTCGACAAATTCAACCATGTGAAAACCGTGATACTTTTCGACATAGCAAAGTTGTCTTGGATGGACGAACTGTTATCGGTGTACCTGTTAAACAATAATACATTCGTTTCGCCCTTAAAAAACGTAAACAGCTGCTACAGACTATCGAAAACGCCTCAGACTAACCTCAATATCAACACGCAAATGCAAACGATCGTGTAAGCCTGGAGTGTGCCGATGGACGCCATATCGATGAGCTGCTCGAGATTGAATACGGCGGCCAAAGTACCTGATAACATAGAAAATAGGTATTTATAGGTTATAAAAAAATTCGATTACTGGCAGGTGAACCCAACGACGAATATTTGCATCTCGGGTATATTACCAGCGAAAACTCCGCAAATAATAGTGGATATCAGAGGGGTCTTAGTCGTGGAGTTGATGTTTGACAAGAACTTGAAAAGCAGACCGTCGCTAGCCATCGAGTACAAGATACGAGGTAGTGGAAATGTTGCACCCAAAAGACTGTATAATTATAACGAAAGGTACAAATAAATAAAAAATAAAATATGAGTTGTTACATAGACAGCACTGTGATACGTCGTCTAGGAGGTGAACGTACCTCGTGCACATTGCGAATATCGCACCACCCGAGACTATAATTTTTATCGTCGTCATACCCAAATTTTCATAGAGGGCCGGGAGTGGTGCATCCGGATCCTGAAAAACAGTAAATCGATATTAATATTATGAAATAACATTGTGTACTGTACGATATACGTCTTCTCTCACTATCGACTTTTCACAAAATATTTTCCGGGATTGTATTTATAATACGTAACTAGTATTAATTTTTTGGTATTGATTCCTCACCCCCCAACCACAACACTGACAATACTAGTGTATATATATACACGCGGTCCATACAGACTTGATATAGCAAATTAATAGGTTTTTTAATTGAAACTGATGTCAAACGAATGTTGCAGAGCAAGGGTATACAATATACATACTCCACGAACGGTGTAGGACAATATTTTTTATACACAATCAATCGTTAAACAAAAAAAAAAAATGTCATACCATCATACCTGTAAATAGTAAGGCCACATGAGTGTTATAACAGTGGCCATGCCACAATAAGCGATTGTGCTCAGGAACAGAGACGCGACGATCGCAAGCGGTATGTCTCTTTTAGGATTTTTCGTTTCTTCGCCTGTAAGAATAAAAAAAAACCATCATACACAGACTACAAAATTGATTTTGATGGAATATAAAATTATATGATACTCACCAGTCGTGGCGATAGAATCGAAACCGATGAATCCGTAGAAACATTTTGCAGCTCCCGCTGCTACGCCGACCCATCCGAATGGTAAGAATCCACCTTCACCACCTTTTGCTTCTTGTGGTATTTCGCTTTTCGGAATAGACCAGTTTGAATAATTTGCTGAAATTGTGCGTTTCTACTTAGTTGTTATTGTCGTTGTAAAACATTAAGCGTCCTGCGATTGGGTCACAATTTTGATTATAACACTTACCTTTGTAAAACCCGGTGACAATCACGGTGGAAATAGTTAACAAATTTATTGCAGTAAATATGTTGTTGGTGAACGTCGATTCACGAACACCCCAAGCCACCAATACTATGAAAAATAACGTAAAATAATCTAATCAGATAAGTATTGTTCCAACTACAAATTGATTATTAAGGTTTTATTACAATAAATTGTGTAATTAATTCATTGAATTCAACAATGAAATTAAGTATCCAGATAATTTAAATAGGTTCAATATATGAATATCCGTTAATAATTCTTTTCTTTTGATTCCCCGAGTCACCTAGGTAAATTTCATGACATACCTATACAAACTAATAACTATTTAGTAACTCGATAGTTTTAAATACTTTTTTTTACTTAAAATATAAATTTTTCAATTAAATTTTTTTTAGTAATAATCATTTTGAACACATTTATAATATATTATTCACTTAAATATATCGTTGTAACTGTATAGACACTCCACGATATTGTATGCAAATATATTAACACTTACGCGCGACGATGACGATCACAAAGAATGACGCCAAGTCGGGATAACTGCCCAAGAATCCGATGTGTATTGGAAAATATTCAGTCATGTATCTTTTTTGTGGGTTGCCCAGCAAAGAATCGCAGTAATTACTCATAGCTTTGGCTACTCCCGCGGTTCCTGTAAATAAAAAATAAAAGCCGGTAACAAACGAATATGGCTATGACGAGGTTAAAAAATTATAAGTTAATAATATTGCATAAGTATTAAAATTTTAAACGCCTGAAAATCGCAAAATTCAAAAACCCAATACTTTAATAATACTATCATATTATACAGTTTAAATGCAATATTATTATCTAGGTCAACTACTTTTGGTTGAGAATATAGCATGTTATTCGGCCGTTGATGTTATATGGGGGTCTAAGCCAGTGGTTTTTTTACCTATATATTTAGTTACTTGGCTTAAATTTTTTTATAAAATTTGTGGTCAGTTCAACTATACAATAGAGAAAAATAGATCGATATTACCAATGACATATTCGATGATTAGATTCCAACCAATGATAAACGCGGTGAACTCGCCAACCGCCACGTAACTGTAGATGTACGCTGATCCAGCTTTGGGTACTCGGCCAGCTAACTCAGCATAACACAGCCCTAAAGACGTTTGTGTGAAAATTAAATTGGACCTTAATTTTAATTTTCTTATCACAATACAGTCAAATCATGGTTATTTAGAAAAAACAAATCGCATCACTGGAGAACAGCTGGACTCATTTGGCTATTTGTTAGAAAAAAATATTTGTAAAAGTCTCAATGAGGTTTTCACAGAAATAAAAATTTGTAAAAGTCGCTGGAAAATATAAATCTCTGAAAAAAAACTAAGTCATTTTTCCTGGAGATTTTTCTATACGTTTTCGTTTGTTTGTAAATGTTATTAGTTACGTATTATATAATAATAAAAATTAATATTTTTTTTTCTATATAAATGGTGACAAATTTTAACATTAAAATGTTTATTAGGTATGATTGAATATAATAATTTTAACTTATAATTTTTTTATTTGGTCACTTTATTGTTTACTCGAATTGTTTGTTCGAAGTTAATAGACTGAAAAACTATTGAACGGTTTTCAAAAAATTCACATCAATAGATTCATTAAAACTTCTAGTTTGTTTATTGGCTTTGTTTGACGTTATAGGTACTCTATAAATTATAACCTCTATAGGTAGTTAAAGGGTAGTTTATAAATTTTTCTTGAGTATACAAAAAAAAAATTGTTTTATTTTTTATTTAAATGGTTGCAGTTGAGTACAATATATTATTTGACTAATTTAATTATGAGTTAAAATATTTTAACATTATAACATTTTTTTACAAATATAATATTTAAAATAAAAAAAAATAAATCTTTGGTACAGGCAACGCCTGGTAGAACAAATATTATGATATAATAAAAATGAAATACTGTTCATTAATGGGCTACCATATGTGTTCCCTATATACTATGCCTATATCTCTGATATTATTATACCTTGAGCCGAGAAGTAAGTTAATATCCAGGAAAAACTTCGAACTCCCTTGATAAAATTATCCAACGTCGGAATATTTTGACTCTGTTTTATAGGCTTGAAACTTAATTCCACAGAAATCGGGGATGTCCTTACCGGAAAATGCAGACACCACTGCGGCGATGACAAAGGACAGGACTACGGCTGGGCCGGCGATAGATTTGGCCACTACTCCGGCCAACACGTACACACCGCAACCCAATGTACAACCAGTGCCCAATGCCGTCAAGTCAAAGAAGGTCAATACCCTGTTGAGTTTTTCTTTACTCGGTTCGTCCAAATTTGACTTTTTCCTCGTTAACGCCCACGTCAACGAATCCGTCTGTTAAATACATAATATCATAACGGTAATATTAGACTTGATATAATGAGTAGCCCATACAAAATCGTATACTATATATTATATTATCAGAAGGTTTGATTTTTAAGAAATTACGATTGAAATGCAATAATATATCATCGACATCATCATATATAATTATTAAATAAGTAATAATATGTTACAAAATCATGGTTTTGGGAGGGGTGAGTTTTGTGATGGGTCGTTCTTTGAAGTTTAGAATTGAATTTGTTGTTGTACCAAGCAAATACTAACATTTTCAAATTAATGTTAATTAAAATGCATAAAACATATGACTGTTTAAAAAAAAAAAAAAATTTAATGAGAGAATGAGCCCATCGTATCATTAAGATTATGCAATTTTAATTTCTCTTCGTTTTATTCAACGCATACTTACTTCGTACATTTTTTACGACGATGTTTTATTATAATTATTATTACTTGAATATAAGTTTAATATCTCATAGTTCATACATATAATATTAAGCCGCAGGGAGTGCGTAGATTAAGTTAGATTAAAAACAGTATGTACCTAGCCGTTGGGTCCGGAGCCCTTTTACGCCACTCACCACACACGACTTGTAAAATATATTATTTTTTAAACTTGAGTTTTTCTTGAAATAAACTATCATTTGCTATTACCGTTGAAGTAGTTATTATTTATTATTTAAGTCTATTTGATATAAAATACATTTGATTTTTGAGATAGCTGTTGTGATAATAATATAATATATAATTACACTTTATATTATACAATAATACTTAATATGTGTAAACAATAACAATTTGTGTAAAAAAAAAACTACTCTGTGAACTCGAGACTACATCTCCTGAGACCGCTATTAAAATCGAAACTTTCTCTAGCCATCAAACTTACGAGTTACGATATACAAATCGATAGTTCGTCCGGCTTGGGTTTACGGCATCCAACTATGGGGATCAGCAAAGCCATCAAACACTAAAACCTTGCAAGCTTTCCAATCCATATGTCTACGCTTAATAACCTTTGCCCCTTAGTATGTAACCAACAAAAACCTCCACAAAGACCTTAATATTCCAACCGGCAACCCTCAACGACTTAGCTATATCCCATTACATAAAATTTCACTCAAAACTTCGCGCTCATTCAATTCCACTAATTAAAAATCTATTCACTACCTCACTCATTCCTAGAAGGTTAATAAGAAAATGGCCAAGAGACCTGCTCAATGCTTTAAAAAAAATTACTAACTAAAAAAAAATAATTAAATTTCTGGTCAGGTGGCACTGCTGGCCTGTCAAATTATGTATGTCAACACGCTTACTCATTATACCATTGTATCGTACAGATTCTAAATATATTTTTAAAAAAAAATTGATACTCAAATGGGAAAACTTGTACTTTTCTTTATAAATGCTTTTGAACACGTCACTGATGTTATTCAATTTTCATTTTCATTTTATATAAAATAAATGGATTTGAAGTGTATTTACAAGGTTTATGGTTATGTTATTCAAAATTCCGAGGATTATGTAATTATAAATTTATTCTGATTTCACCAATAACTTCTTTATGTCATCACACACCGAATGAAAAAAAATCAACATTAATTTACATAGCTAATGTTTAAGATAACACTTTAATTCAGTTGTACATGGTTTATAAACAATAACATATAAAGTAAGTGCGATACGTAAATTATGATTTCACCAAAGTGTTAAGCATATAAATACTAACATTTAAAATTTAAAATTTTGGTTTTTTAAAAAAATTTAAAATTTTGAAGTTTTTGTCCATAACTTCCAAATGAAGTTTGGACGACTTTTTTTGAATGTGCCATCAAATTAAACATGCAAAAACAAACATTTTGAAAGAAATCAGTTAGGATCTAAATTGCATTTATGCCTAATTTTTATTAAAAAGCCTCTGTAAACCCTATCAATTTTTCAACTTAATTTGATGAAGAATCTTCTTTAGATCGGTCGGAGCACAATACTATATTTAATAAAATTTAATAAAAAAAATTGTAAATATTTAAAATATTTTTTGATAGATACAAAATTATCTTGTTTATGGATTCAAATATTTTCACATTTTTTAAATAGGACCTTTGTTAGTAAATACATTATTGTTAGGCGTATAGGTATTTCAAGTCCATAAATTGATTTTGAATATTTTGATGTAATGACTAAATAACATTTGTAGGCAAGTGTGTAATATGTGTGTACAGATTGTATATATGATGATTGGTGAACAGTATACACACATTAATAATCATTTACTAAACAATAAGACTAGAAGTGACTTTAAGGAACGGAAGAATTGCCTAAACACAGCTCCTAAAAAATGACACGTTTTTCCAATATAATAAAGTATTGTATTGTGTCGCGTGCGCTATATGTATTGTTCTCTGCCCGTGTCCCAGGTAATACAATTCTATTCATTATTATTTTGTGAAACGATAATGACTAAACTACTGCCGCTATCGGTCAATCATTTTAATTGTAATTTTATACAGTCCCGTCGACTTTTACCATTTCTATAAAACGTCAGTGAGAATTAAAGTTTTCAAAACTTAAATATCAAAAATAAAATATCAGAATAAAATATTAGTATAGATATAAAAAGGTTATTACAAGTATAAAATGAAAAATAAAGGACATTGTTTAAGGATTGAAGAACCCATCATCCCATCCTCCCATTGGAGGAACTAAAGTGGAAGATTAATTATGCGCATAAAAATTCAACAAAAAATTAATTTTATAGTACTACCTTACAAAAGTAAATTTTTACACATTTTGAATAGTTTTCTTTATTCTTCAAGAGGTAAACAATATTCCTTGAACTTGAAGTTCCATTTGTAAGAATTTCATAATAATTTAAATAACGAGTTTGGCAAATACGCGCGTATTGTCTTCGATTACATGGTTAATGTATACCTATTATACTATACTGCAGGTAGCCAGGTAGGTATAGTTAGTTAAAAATATTGTGTGATATTATATTATGTTCTTGATTTTCAAAATTATTTGTTTTCACACCTATAACTCTGGTCATTATTATCATTTCGCAAGTTGAAATCGATTATTTTTAGATAACATATAAAACGAATGACTTACCGATTTGTACCAAGGATCATCCATCATAAAGTATTATGATATCAATATAGCAAGTGTGGTGATCTTCGAATACGGTGACAGCTGAGACGGAAAATCGGGTAGATCCGATTGAAACTTTACCTCTGACGTATATTAAATGGTAGGTGTATTAATATATTATGTTTTTAAAATATCGGAAAAAAAACTAAAAATTGTACTCAATGTTTTCCGTAACTCCGCAAGCACACTAAAACATTTAACCAAACATCAAAATAATATTAATAAATAAATACTACGACGATATCACATGTGGATAATACGAGGTTTCAATACGATCATAACGATCATTATAACAATGATGCGCGAACTTTCACGGTGTAAATAAATAAATATTATTTTTGGTGCAGCGAACGGACGCGCGGTGTGCTGCCGACGAAATACGAGCAATATCTGCTCGCGTTCTTCTACCTGACAGTAGTAGGTACTATGCACGGTGGTTTAAGATATATCTTTAACCATGGAACAGCGGTACTCTTTAAGCAGCACATTGCAAACGAAGGAAAATAATAGTATACAATAATAATAATAACCTAGGTATAGGTAATTATTCTAATATTTCTATGGTAATAGACATGGAAGAAGTTGTGACTGCACCGTGATTCAGCGAAAAACGTTCGGTAATTTTCGTATTGTTAAAATTCCGCTGCCGCCACCTATATGGCCTCGAAAGATTTCGTTTTTTTTTACATTTTATTTGTACAGACGTATTTTTTAAAAATAAATCTGATATGATAATATCAAATTAATTTTATTTTCAAATAGATGTTACATTTATATTACATTAACTTAAATACATTTTGACATAATTATATTTTTGGACAATGGCATTGAATATAATTACAAAAATAAGATAATTATTAGATATGTTAAACAAAAATACTTAGGTATACAATATAAGTACGTAAATATTTTAAAATAGATGAAGAATCCAACGAAATTGATTCATGCGTATGAGTAATTCTATAAGTATCCAAATAACTAACTCAGTTTGATTTGAATTGGGTTTTGGTGAATTTTTTGCTTATTACCTTCCAAACTATGGCCGATGCCATAGAACAAATAGATCAATAATCCTGTAATCATTTAGACGGACAATATAAAATTTTAAGTCAAAATTTAGAGTAAAGAAAAATTTAATAAGGACTAAGGAGTGTTTGAAGAATCATACTATATCAATAATTATTCAATAAGTATATTGATCATCATAGATAAAACTAAGAAGCAATTACCTAAAAGTATTTAGCTCACGTAATTCTGACTACTAGCCACTTTCATGATTTGCAAGAAAATAAGGGTTGACAAAATTGATTATATTTGGTTAAAAATGTATGTATAATTAGATGAACTTACCACATATAAGCCACACGCTGAAACTTATCCAAGTCTTGTACTCTAGTTCCATCATCAGATAAACATTTAATACAATGCTCAAACATGGTATGATGGGAACCAACGGTACCTAAATAAAAATTTTAAAAAAAACCAAATTACTTACTGTAATTTTTTTTTAGTATTTTTTCAACTAGAAAACTTTCATTCGATTATAATTTATATAATATGTGTAAGTAGCATGATTTTTTAGAAGAAATATCAATGCCATCTTACATTATTCTTCAAACTGAATTTGAAAGCCTAGTACGTAAAACTGTTTGTATTTTCTATATCAAGCATACTCATACCTTGAATGATAGATCTTCCACGGCGGTCGGAAGTCTACCCAGCATGAACAACGTGACCAACAACACCAAAAGTGCTATTACATTTACCATCATTAGTACGTTCCTCGTGTTTCCATGATGTGATTGCATATTTGCCAAGCTTATTCCAAACACAATAGTACATACACCTATATTGAAATACAGTTTGTAACATTTCAGATAACTAAACCGGCATCGTGCTTATACCTAAACCGGGTAATGAACTTATGCGTATTGTAATGCTTTTATTTGTACGCCTTGACGGCGATTTTATTCTATATTTACAATAATTTGTGTACATATATTATTTTATTGGTAATTGACCTTTTGTGTCCACAAGACCGACGGCTCTTTGTATTTCTCTATATATTTACATCTATCAATATATGGTTTATTACGGCCTTACAACGACTGAAGCTCCTGTCGAAATGTTCTAAGTTTTAGTGTTAACTTTTCTTACTGTTGGAGTACTTAGCTGATTTTCTCCTCAAACTATAATAAACCTCGCCCAGTTATTCTCAATTAACCACTATTTTTTTTTTATTTAACTTCTTTCGACATATATATATTATATATATTTATGAATTCTATAGTGATCAATCTGTAGTACCTATTTAATATAACCAATGATAATACACACACACACGATCGCGGGTGACTAGGTGCGGGACAAAGTAGGTCCACTTATTTTGTGAGGATTGTATCATAATAACACAATAAATAGCCAATAATATATTATATACATACTGAATATAAATATCAATGCCCTTGAAATGTATTGAGTGTCCGAGTTCGGCACTTTTGCGTTCGACAAATTCAACCAAGTGAAAACCGTTATGCTTTTCGACTTCGTAACGTTGTCTTGGATGGGTAGGCTGTTATCGGTGTACCTGTTAAATATTAATGAAATATTACGTTCATCATATTTGTTTCACCCTTAAAAACCGTACGCAGCTGCTATTGAAAACGCCTAGGACTAACCGCAATATCAACACACAAATGCAAACGATCGTGTAGGCCTGAAGTGTGCCAATGGACGCCATATCAATGAGCTGCTCGAGATTGAATACGGCGGCTAAAATACCTGATAAGAACGAATATAGATTTGTATAGATTATTGAAAAATGCAATTGACTTTTCAAACGATGAGTTTTCGTAACTTCAGTATATTACCGGCTAAAAGTCCGCAAATGATTGTGGATATCAGAGGGGTCATGGTCGTAGTGTTGATATTCGACATGAACTTGAAAAGAAGACCATCTCTAGCCATAGCGTACAAGATACGAGGCAGGGGAAATAGTGTACCCAAAAGACTGTATAATGATAACGTAAAGATACAAATAAATAAGTATATATATTAGCTGTTACAACGCTGTGATACGTCGTCGTGGATGCGGACGTACCTCGTGCACAATGCGAATATAGCACCACCTGAAACTATAATCTTTATCGTCGGCATATCCAAATTTTCATAAAGAGCTGGAAGTGGTGCATCCGCATCCTAAAAGCCATACGTTGATATATTAATATAATAAAACAATGTGAAGTACTCTACGTAATTATTCCCTGATGATCGACTTTCTGAAAATATTTGTTGCGATTGTCTTTAAGTTTTAAGTTTTAATTAGTTTGACATCGGTTAGAAAATTTGGGGGGGGGGGGTTCTATACGATTGCACACTTTTTTCTGTTTCGACTCGACTGAATACAGTAAGATTGCTCATCAAATTCGTAACACAATTGCATCCCCATCCCTTTTAACCTATTAAAATTACAGCACACACATAAAATTATATTTGTAGGTATTGTGTATAAAGTGCTTACTACGTACGTATACGCATGTATGTACAACATAAAATAATATATACAGTACATATTTTTTATAATTTTCATTATGTGCAAAATCAATAACTTATCTTATTAATTAACTATTTTCCTTCCCAATTATTATAAGCTTATTGAATGTACATTATTTGAATGTATACTTACATAATTAATAGTCAACCATTTTTTTTTATTTATATAAAAAATATAAATAAAACATAATACATATGTAAAAAATATGTGAAAAGCATACTTGTGAATAGTAAGGCCACATGAGTGTCAAAATGGAGGCCACGCCGCAATAAGCGATAGTGCTCAGGAACAGAGATGCGATGATCGCAAGCGGTATGTCTCTTTTGGGATTCTTCGTTTCTTCACCTGTTGGTAAGAATAAAAGAAATACATCGTATGAGAATTATTATTTTTATTATTATTATTAGTTTGAATGTAATAAAATATGATACACACCAGTCATGGCGATCGAATCGAAACCGATGAATCCGTAGAAACATTTCGCAGCTCCCGTTGCAACGCCGACCCATCCGAATGGTAAGAATCCGCCCTCGCCACCTTTTGCTTCGGGTGGTATTTCGCTTTTCGGAATAGACCAGTTTGAGTAATTTGCTGAAAGTGTGCGGTGTTTAAACATACTTGTTATAGTCGTTATAAAATTTAGCGTTCTACGATTGGGTCAGAATTTTGATTAGAACACTCACCTTTGTAAAACCCAGTGACAATCACGGTGGAAATAGTTATCAAATTTATTGCCGTAAATATGTTATTGGTTAACGTCGATTCACGAACACCCCAAGCCACCAATACTATGAAAAATAACGTAAAATAACCTAATCAGCAAGTTATTGTCAAACTTCAAATAGATTATTATGTTTTTATTACAATAAATTGTGTAATTAATTCATTGAATTCAACAATAAAATTAAGTGTCCAGATAATTTAAATAGGTTCAATATATTAATATCCGTTAATAATTCTTTTCTTTTGATCCAACGAGTCACCTAGGTAAATTTCATGACATACCATACAAACTAATAACTATTTAGTAACTCGTTAGTTTTACCTACTTTTTTTTACTTAAAATATACATTTTTCAATTTAATTTTTTTTTAGTAATAATCATTTTGAACACATTTATAATATATTATACACTTAAATATATCGTTGTAACTGTATAGACACTTACACGAATATTGTATGCAAATATATAAACACTTACGCGCGACGATGACGATTACAAAGAATGACGCCAAGTCGGGATAACTGCCCAAGAATCCGATGTGTATTGGAAAATATTCAGTCATGTATCTTTTTTGTGGGTTGCCCAGCAAAGAATCGCAGTAATTACTCATAGCTTTGGCTACTCCCGCGGTTCCTGTAAATGAAAAAATCAAAGCTGATAACAAACAAATATGGCTACGACGAAGTAAAAAATTTATATGTATAATAATATTGCATGTGTATTACAATTTTAAACGCCTGAAAATCGCATAATTCAAACACCCAATACTATAATAATATTATCATCAACGACGAATCGTAACATTATAATAAATTGTTATTTATCGCTGAGTTCTAGCGAACCACGGGACGGTCAGTATTTTTTGCGAGCACCGTATGCTTGGATGTGAATTGCATAACCGTCGTCGTTGCCGGGTTACGGACTTACGGTAAAAAAAATCAAATAGTTGAATAATAATTATGTATATATAAATAAATATAAAGGATATATCATGTATGCATCGTTAGAATAGTATGCAATTAATAAATGTATTATTTTTTAACTTTTCGAAAGATCTAACTCTGGACATGGCAACACAAAGTTGACAATGGTCCATGACTAAACACAGGTTTGGGTAAATATAAACCTACTTTATCTAATGTTTTACCCTGTACAAAAGCTATTCGAAA